ACATTTAATATGGTCGGAAAGCGTATTGGTATCTTTGGAGACTACGACACTTCTTTTGGTAAACTTGAAGTTCTTGTTGATGGTAAAGAATTGGAATATGACTTTCAAATTAACACAAAGACATTAACACTTCGAACACTTTACCATGCTTGCGCTTTCGAAGAAGGTACACACAATATCACAATTAACGTGAAAGAAGGAAAAGTTAATATTGATGTGATTGGATTTGACTAAATTATAATTTGCAATGTTTTCAAAATTTATTTTATGTTTTAATAAATAATTTATAAATACTCTTATTATGAACAGCCAATTAATAACAATTTAAATTTTAAAAACATTTTTGTTTTAAGTTTAATATATTTGCATCAACTAAAACAATTTACAGTTGTTAAAATAACCAATTACAGTAAAAAGGGGCTATTTGTCGCAATCTTATTTGTCGAACGAGTCTATTTGTCACTCCTGGCCAATCATTTGGGTTTACGAATTAAATTTTATGTTCTCGAATCTGTTCCTTTTGTTGAATTTAAACCAAATTATTACTTAAAAATAAAATTCTATATTAAATAAAACTTTCTGAAAAATTCTTTCAAATCCGACAAATAAATTATTTTTTGTGCAAAGATCTCGACAAATAGACCCTTTTCACTGTAATTTTTTTTTCAATTTGAAGACAAATTTAATAATAATAATAATAATAATAATAATAATAATAATAATAATAATAATAATAATAATAATAATATAGTTGTTTATAATAAAATATAATCAATTATATGAAACTGAAAATATTTTCATTAATAAAACTCAAAAAAAATTATCTTTTTGTGTAATTTTTGTAAAAACAATCAAAATGTTATTTAAAATGTTATTTTTCAAAACAATTAAAACCAATTTATTTAAACAAACAATTACTAAACTATATTTAAAATCAACTAATAACAAATTCCTCATTTAAAAACTTAAGAAACTAAATGCCACAACTTCCGATCAACGTGATGAAAAAAATATCAACTCATTGTGATATACGAACATTTCTTCATATAACCGAAACTTGTAAATTGTATCCGCATACAG